CCCTCATTGACCCCAGTGCCTCCCATTGACCCTCATTGACCCCCATCAACCCCCAATGCCTCTAATTGACCCCCATTGACCCCCAGTGCCTCCCATTGACCCTCATTGACCCCCATTGACCTCCAATGCCTCCCAGTGACCCCCAGTGCCCCCCATTGACCCTCATTGACCCCAGTGCCTCCCATGGGCCCTCATCGACCCCCATTGCCCCCCCCCAGCTGAGTTCTCGCTACGGCCCGGTGCTGTCGCTGCGCCTGGGCTCGGAGCAGGCGGTGGTGGTGAGCGGCGTGGCGGCGCTGCGGGAGCTGCTGGTGACCAGGGGGGACGAATTCACGAGCCGGGGGCATTTCGCCATCGGGGAGAAGCAGAGCGCGGATCTGGGGCTGTTCATGAGCAACGGGGCCACGTGGATCAGCATGAGGAGATTCGCCCTGACGGCGCTGCGGGATGCGGGGATGGGGAGCAGGAGGGCGGAGGAGATGGCGATGGAGGAGGCGGCTGAGCTGATCAGGGAGCTGGAGAAGGGGGGAAGTGAGTGGGGGCTGGGACCCCAAAATTGGGTGTGGGACCCCAAAAATGGTGCGGAGACCCCCAAAACTGTGGGCATTGGGTCCCAATAGGGGGTTGGTGGGACCCCAAAATGGGGGAGGGACCGTAAGGGGGGTGTGGGATCCCAAAAAGAGGGGAGGGGACCCCAAAATGAGGGGAGAGGGCGGTGGAGGAGGCAGCTGAGCTGATCAGGGAGCTGGAGAACGGGGGAGGTGAGTGGGGGGGGTCCAAAATGGGGAGGGACCCCAAAATGGGGGGTGTGGAGCCCTGAAATAGGGGGAGATGGCGGTGGAGGAGGGATTATGGGGCTGTGGGGGTCATGGGGCTATGAGTGCCACAGGGTGATGGGGTTCCAGGATCTATGGGGCTCCGGGTCTATGTGATCTATGGGGCTCTGGGTCTATGGGGCTCAGCGCCCCCCTGGCCCCACAGCTGCAGTCCAGGACCCCTCGGAGCTGCTGAGTGCGGCGGTGGGGAACGTGGCGCTGCGGCTGCTCTGCGGGTGCCGTTTCCCTTATGGGGACTCGGGGTACCGCGATGCGCTGCGCTGCATGGCTGAGAACCTCCGCATCGAGAGCTCCGCTGCAGGGAAGGTCAGAGGTCACGGGGTCAGGGGTGCCGAGGGTCAGAGGGGGTCATGCGGTCATGGGGGCAGGGGGCAGAAGGGTCATGGGGTCAGAGGGGGGCCAGGGGGGGTCATGGGGTCATGGGGGTCCTGGGTCGTGGGGCCAGAGGGGGTCATGGAGTCAGAGG